CCTGTGCTTCGCTCCNCACTACTATATATATATATATATATATATATTGAACTGCATTTCCCAAATTAAGCACTTCATAACAGATTTTCAAACAGGGAATGACATTTTCGATCCCTAAATTGGGATTAATTACTCATAGTTCACTAATAAGAACAGACACTACAAATGATGTGAGACAAAAAGCTCAAAAAGGTAAGCTCAATATTCAGGAGCTTTTCACTGCAAAAGCTCAATATTCAGGAGCTTTTCACTGCAATAGCTTCTAATTTGCTACAAAGGTAAAGTAGAAAGTATTTAGGAAATAAATAAAAATTGAGTTCAATTTGGCAACACAATAAATTGTCCAAGGAAGGGCCAAACCCTTACATAGCTTCATGGGTTTGGATCTCTTATGCTTGTATCTTAAGTCACAGTATTGAAAATTACAGACAAATTTACAAATTTGAATATTTTCTTTAAAAAATAAAAAATAAAGAAATTACCATGATATACTTTATCAATAATTCACTTGCTAAATTTAAGTAGCCAAAACAAAATGAACAGCTCTTTAATGATTCTGATTCAATTGCAACATAGCCTCATCAATTCAGATATCATTCAATTCACACACCAATGAAGGAATTAACCCAATGCTCACTCAAGTTTAAATCCCAAAAACAAAAAGAAAAATAAAACAATGATCCAGAACATTAAAGAATCCTAGAAATCGAATCCAAAATTCCTCAGCCAGGAAGCAATTCAACGAGAACCTAAAGAGAATGCAGGCCTTAAAAAATAAAACAAACGAAAATATGAACATGAGTGAATCCAAAACTCACCAAATGCATATACATTGATGTTCTTGATACCTATGATACTTTTCTTCCTTATCCCAATCCCATCAAGCTGCTGAGTCTGGTTCAAAACCACCAGAGAAGACGCACCAGTCCTGGTTTAGTAATGGTTTTCTCATAGGCGAAAGTGAGAGAGGCCCACAAATAGGGTATCAAGTTCTAGCACACAAAGAACAAATCCTTGGCTATGGATTTTTTGAAGCAATGAATCTCTCTGGTCCAAGAATGAAGAAGCCATGGACAAGCCCATTCGTGGTCCTACTCCCATGGCCATTGTAACTCGGATGGAGACCACGTATGCACTGTAAAACCCCCTCTGTCTCTTACCCACTGAATATCAGATAAAGATCTGTGTCCCACAGAGTGTTAACAACTAACGAGCTCCTTTTCGCTCTCTCTCTAGGGGGCATGCTCTACATGATGAAAAGGAGAAAGAGATGGGTGGAGGCAAGGTGAGAGGAATGCTGGTGTGGGTTTCTCCCTAGTTTAGCTAGGGGGAGAGAGAATGGAATGGGCCGAGAGATAGAAAGAGGGTTAGAATTGGGTGTCAGGGGCATTGAATGACGAGTTTATTGAGATTGATAACAAAATCTAATAGTGATCCATAGGGGTCCTATGCTGCTGGGGTATGGCATGATCATATAGTATCAATACTATTATTCTTATTATGGTTATTGTTATTGTTGTTGTTGTCGTCATTGTCGTTATTGTTGTTATTGTCATTGTCATTGTTGTTGTCGTTGTCGTTGTCGTTGTCGTCGTTGTCGTTGTTGTCGTCGTCATTGTTATCATCGTCATCGTCATTATCGTTGTCGTTGTCATTGTCGTTGTTGTTGTTGGTGTTGTTGTTTTTCATTCTCAAAAATTTAGGATTATTACATTTTCCTCCCCTTAAGGAAATTTAGTCCTTTAAATTTTTGTATTTGATTACTGAAAAAGATGAGGGTATTTCTCCTTGATTTAATCTTCTTGCTCCCAAGTGGCTTCTTCCAAAGAATGATGTTGCCACAAAATTTTTGTCAATGGTATCACCTTGGATCTCGGCACTTGCTCTTTTCGATGAAGAATTTGAATGGGCTGCTCAGTGTATGTTAAGTCATCTCTAATTTGAAGAGGTCCATGCTTAATGATGTGTGATGGGTCAGCCTCGTATCTTTGTAACATTGACACATGAAACATATAACGAATGTCTGATAATTTCAGAGGCATGGCAATTCTATAAGCCATCTCTCTAATCCTTTCCAAGATTTTAAAAGGTCCAATAAACCTTGGGCTTAATTTTCCTTTTTTTTCCAAATCTCATTATACCTTTGGAAGGAGATACTTTTAGAAATATATGGTCCCCTACCTGATATTCCAAGTTCCTTTTATGCTTATCTGCTTAACTTTTTTGTCTACTTTGAGCACTTTGAAGTCTATTCTGGATGAGCTTAATCTTATTGGTAGTTTCTTGGACTAGCTATGGTCCCAGTAATTTTCTTTCCCCAACATCATCCCAACAGATAGGTGATCTATACTTTCTTTCGTACAATGCCTCATATGGTGTCATTTTAATACTGGATTGATAAGCATTATTGTAGGCAAATTCTATTAGGGGCAAATGGTCATCCCAGCTTCTTTTAAAATCCATCACACAAGCTCTAAGCGTATCTTCTAATTCTTTTTAATATTTATCTCTTCTTTCTCTTTCTAATTTTTTATCTCTTCTTTCTCGCTCTAAATATTTTCTCTCTCTACTTACTTCATCAACTCAACAAACATGATTCCAACATAATACAAATCTGACTCTATCTAATTTTCATTGGAGATGTAGCTGAAGGAGTTTTTATAGGGGAGGGTAAGGTACTTGATGGTTGTTATACATATCTCCTTGGAGAGAGAAAGAGAGTTAGAGAGAGAAAAAAATTTAGAGAGAGGGAGAAACGAGACAAAAAAGAATTAAGGAGAGAAAGAAGAGATAAATATTTAAAAGAATTAGAGAGAGTAATAAGAGAAAAACAAAAAAGAACTTCGAGATGAAAGAGATAAATATAAATAGAAGGAGAAAAGGGTTTACTAGATTTCAAGTGCCGTATAATATGGGTTAGTTTTTACGTTACGTAAAGTTCCGTAAATATACTTCACTGTAATACGATTACCGTGAAGGTTATTCTGGTAAAAAATGCTCAAAATTTAAGAAAAATGGTGTGGGCCAGGTTTATGAAAGTTGAGGGTTTAAGAAAAAGGGTATAGGCAAGGTTTATGAAAGTTGATAGTTTTTTTTCCTAAATAGATGAAAATTAAGGTATATTTTTTATAATTTCCCTAAATTTTATTAAAGTATTATTCTTAAAAAAATGAGGCTATCATTATGAAGATATCATTTTACTAATATTATGAGAGAGAGAGAGAATAAAAAGATAACAAGGCATTATGAATGTATCATTTTACTAATATTATGAGAGAAAAAGACAGAGAATGAAAATATAATATTTGAGAGGAGAGAGAGTACCAATTATGATAGAATTATGAGTATAATAATGGAAGAGAGAGAAAATAAGTGTAATAAAATCATTTAAGAGAGAGAGAGAAAAAAATATTACATCTGAGAAGAGAGAGAAGACCCATTTATGATGGATTAATTATGGGTCAATGATGGGTATTTATAAGTGAGAGGGTTAATCTTCATGTGACACATGTCAAACATGTGTCCTTTTTCTTCATTTATATATGCCACCTCATGACACATTACTACTTTATAATGACATATCATCACCTCATATTGACACATCACTTTGTATTTAATTATCTTAATTTAATTAAAATAAATGTAAAAAGAAAAATTTAGGGTGGTCCCATGGTGCATGCATATTACAATAAACTATCACTATTTAGGAGTTTTATATTATTTTTATTTATTGTTCTATTATGATTGTTGTTGTTGTTGTTGATGAATAAAGAAGATACTTTTAAAGCAACAATCGCCATGAGTTCTAACCCGACACTATAAGAGGCAGCAGGTCGAGGTTTTGCTTCTGAGGTGATGGGGGAAGATGCTTCATAAATGACTACATCATTTGGTGCTTTTCCAATGCCTTTTGTATCGAAAACATTTGCCTCCGCAGTAATGGTCTAGAGAAAATCTCCCTGACTCAAAGAAGAACGAGTAGGAGACTGCACTGTTACATGCTCAGTGGGATTTTTAGTAGTGGGATTTTCAATAAGAGATGCCTCTATCTCTATTGAAGGAGGAGGAACACTCTTTGATCTACGATCAGGCACACTTGCTTGAGCCACGACAGCTTCAGCAATGACTTCTGGGGCAAGGGTCTCCATTTCTGATGTCGAAATTGAGTTGGGAGAGGTTGATTAGGTACGTCGATCTTGCCCTCCGTATCAAGATGACCTAACGGCACGTGACTCAGGTTTTAAGAGAACCCAAGACTTGAGATCGCTCTCTCGGGAACCTTGCTAGGAAACAAGGGCAGGTATATCAATCGATGAGAGAGAAAAGTAAGGTGAGTTCACGACTTACTCGAGCTCGCTTGCGTGGAGGCCCTCTTAGATCATAAAGAAAGCCCTTCAGTAGTACAACTGGTTCGAAATCGCCTCCCTTGACATGTATTCTACTGTTTTTGTAATCACATATACATGGTTAATGTCACAAGATAAGTGGGCCAAAGGACCACACCTTATCTTTGGGCGAATGCACACAAGCATACACATTCAAAGGAGAAAGAGAAGAAATGATGAGATAAGGGTTGAGAGCAGGAAGGAGAGAGAAAAAAGAGAAAAGAATAAAAGAAAGAAACATTTGACCAGGTGACTAACCTAGCACAGTGGCTAGATTGGCTTGAAGTAGTAGCAAGATGGGCACGGTAAGGCGAACCGATCGAATGACAATACTACTAGATGATAGAACACCAACACCAACCAGCCTGGCATAATGACGAGTTCAACATGGCGGCAAGACGGGCACGGTAACTTAGACCACCACGACGGCAATACTGCTCGACGTCGAGACTACCGTGATAGTGCTAGACTTGTCCTTCGGTCAAGTGAGAGGAGAAAGAAGAGAGAGAAAGAAGAGAAAGAGGAAAAGCAGAGAGAGAAAGAAAGTGAGCAGAAAAGAGATAGAAGAAGACAGTAGAGGAGGAGAAAAAGAAAAGAAGAAGAGAAGAGAAGGAAAGAGAAGAAGAAGAAGAGAAGAGTAGAGTAGAGAAGAGAAAAGAAGAAAATGCGAAGAGAGGAAAGAGGAAAGGGAAAAGAGGGAAGAGGGAAGAGAGTAAGAGAAAAAAAGAGAAGAGAGAGAAAAAAGAGGAGAGACGAAGAATAAGAAGATAGAAGAGAGAGAAAAGAAGAGAGAGGAGAGAGGAGATGGAGAAGAGGAAGATGATAGAAGAAGAAGAAAGAAGAGAAGAGAGAGAAAGAAGAGAGGTGAGAAAAAAAGAAGGGAGAAGGAAGCATGGACGACGATGACCTTCTGCCATCCATGATAGAGAAGAGAGAAGACAGAAGGAAGCATGGATGGAGATGGGGTTCCACCGTCTATGACAGAGAAAGGACATGGTCAGCAATGGGTTTCTGTCGCCCATAACAGAGGAAAGAGGAGAGAGAAGGAATATGGATGGCGATAGCTTCTGCCGTCTATGACTGAGGAGAGAGAGAAGAAGAAAACATGGATGGCGATGGGTTTCTACTGTCCATGATGGAGGAAAGAGAAGAGAGAAAAGATATGGACGGTGATGGGCTTCTGCCTTCCATGTCAAGAGAGAGAGACAAGAATTAGAAAGGGAAACACATGTGCGATACTAGGCACCGCCTCTCGTGTCATAAGGTACTCAGACATGACCCTACCTGCCACTCGGGAAAGGGCCTGGTTCAGTTTCCTTGTCAAAGAATGAGGAAATGAATGTCATACGCGGCGATGAGCATCATCGTTCACAACACGGGGAAGGAGAGACTTGGATAGAGGCCCAGTCCGCCATTAAGGTTAAGGCCCGGCTCACTGTTCATGCTTCCAGAGGATAAGGGGAGAATGAAAATGTCATACCCGGTTAGGGGTATCACCATGCATGACTGGAGAGGAGAGAGAATAGAAATAACAAGTGAG